TAGGTAAGGATAGCCATTTGATTATGCCGTGTAATCACCTCCGTATCGGCTATTCCCATTATTTCGTGTCACTACCAAAATGTTTCGGTGCAATTGCAAATTGCACTTTCTTTTTACTGATATAAGTGCGTAAAAAAAAAGTGTTAATTCATGTCACTTTCGATTAATCATGTCGCACCGCCCCGAGTTTAGGTTTCTTCCATTATGTTTGTGTTGCGTCGTAGGTCAATAATTGCCATCTCTATTTACAGATCTTGCTATCTTTTTTCTTTTCTTGTCCTGAATAAGTCCATCATGTAGGTTCGTCAAAGTTCTCATGCCTGATCTCGGAATGCTTGCCTAAGCTGCTAGCTTGATCGAGGTCCAAGTCAGGTTGTGGCTTCCCAATAGCAACCTACCCATCCGAAATCATCCAAGGTCCCTCTCACAATTGCAAAGTTGTAGTCATCAATGCCTGGAAATTCAGCCAATGATCAATGTCGTTGCCTAGCTCAATAACTGTGGATTTTGGGGCTCAGCACATTAAGGTGCTAAAAACATATGCTCGTTTCAATTGAATACGCTAGGAACGCACTGAAACTGATGCGGGCCAGACACATTTCAATACACATCACGTGTTAGAACAAAGCTTTTGTTAACTATTTGATAAGAAGGGACTAAAGCATGTGACAGAAACATAGTGAATTAGTATGCTATTTCACGATCAGTTTCCCTATTTCCGGAGCATGCGGTATTTGGAAGTGATCGGTTAAGCTGACACGAGCCATCAGGAGCTTGCCACCTCGTCTTAGTTGCTGAGCATGATAACTTCCCTGGCACTGGATAGCAGCATAAACCAACATTTCCACCCAAACCTCACTGATGATTGACCACTTTGGTTCTTGATTCGTGAAAATAGTATTTCTAGCTGCGATGCTAGTCGGAATTCGTGAAATGGCACCCATGGAAAGCTTGACTGTCCTTCCTCCAAACCTCGGAGTCCTCGTTTTGTCGATGTCCGGCCTAAAGGACGACCTCATGGGAGTCTTAGGAAGCCTGGAGATGTTGGTAACTCTCAGGTCGTTGGCCAGCTCTTACTGTGGCCCGACGATGAGCTGCGTCGCTGCTACATTGTTTCCAATGCTCCGTGTTCTGAAATTGTGGATGCTAGAGGAATCGGAAGGTTGGGATGTCTAACAAGGCGCTATGCCCCGACCCAAAGAGTTAGAGATCAGACAATGTGAAAAGCTAGAGACCGCGAATGCCTTGCGTCATTGAAGCACTGGAAGAGATCAATCCACGCGAGTCAAGAAAGAACTAGCCATGAATGTCTAAGCACGAACGACTGGTAAAATGTTTGCAATTGTGATAAATTATTGCGCTAGTACTTTTCTAGAGTCATCTAATCCATCTGCACTACTCAGTACCAGCTCCTAACTCAGCCGTAAAAGAGTAAAAAGTGCCGTTTTACTATCAAATATTTGGTCTCCGTACGAGTAAATTCATAAATGATAGTATCGAATTATGATTACCGAATTAGCTTTACATGAACTTTCTGCCTACCGTGGCATCAATCAACTACAATTTTTGAACATTAAGTTCTTTTTGGCCGAATTTTGAGCATTAAAACTGATAATGTGTATACACCAACAACAACAAAAATGTACTGTTTCCATATAGTTAGTAACTTCTAATATAGAGAGAATTTTTGTTTAGCTTGTTAGGTCCAAATAAGGAATCAAGGGGGGCGCTTAATTGGTGTTTCACGAAAACACAAACCAATTTTGTAGAACCAACCCTAATAAAAATATTGCTTCTACGCACAAAGTGAACTAGCTACGTAAATAACCATGGGGATTTCGTTCTAACAACGTCGGTATAGAGGCGTTAGAATATTTAAATATTAATTTATGTATTATCTAACGACTTAATGCTTTCCTTACATATTTCCACGCTTTATGCTCAAGCCAAAGTTCAGTCTACGTGTGAGAGAGAATGTTTATTAATCTATGTCTTGGCAGTGATCCCACAAAATCTAGAATAAAAGATCCTCCACATGAGTATTGCATTGACTCCTTACTTCTCGCTCGTAGTCTGCCTAACATATTACATGGACTCCTTACGAGAATGTAGAAGTCATCGCATATTACCAACGCATGATAAGCTGACGATCTCGTAATTATCATGAACCAAACTGGAAAACCGATTTAGTTAACCATCCATAATGCAAGAGAAGATAGAAGGTAAAGATCCAAAATTTCTTGATGGAGTCTGCATTTAACCGCAGTAAGAAGGAACTTCTAACATAAAGTTAACATAAAGTATATCTCAACATGATAAGGCGATCTCAGTTGAGCAAGCCATCCATAATGCAAGAAGATAGAAGAGTAAAGATCCAAAAATTTCTTGATGGAGTCTGCATTTAACCACAGTAAGAAGGAACTAACATAAAGTATATCTCAGTTGAGCAAACACGCATTCTAAGTCTAAAGGGCTCTACATTTAGCTAAAACCTTTGTCGATTGCATCGCGGGATAACTGTATCTATGGCTTGAAATTTGATATACAAACCTTTTGCTTAAAAGATTCTCTATCGCTCCTGCATTGGTCCACGGTCTCCACCCAGTTGGGAACAAATTGATTAGTATATTAGCTGATTCAGATGTGAACTAAGAACAAGGATCTCTCCGGAAATGCAGACAGGATGACCACAATGAAGCTGAATTAGACCATCTTCCCAACTTTTTAATCACACCCGATCAACGTGTTAGAATATTTAAATATTACACACACGGTTTTACCTAACAATTTAAGTTTTTAGAACAGTTAGGCAGTGATATCATAAAATCTCACACAATGAAAGGAATTACACAACAGTGCAACATCACAAATCATACTCAAACAACGTAAAGCATAACAAAATTTAGCGTATCAAGCATGAGAAAACAGAAAGTTTGGAGGAGCCAAAGTATATTGTCTACCAAGAGTATCACCACCTTCATCAAAATTAAACGCATCCATTGCCGAACAACCATATGAATGAAAACAGTGTTACTGGAGAAAATAACGACGAGAATCACATTCGAAGCAGCAAATCCACCAATTGAGTTTCCCGGTTTATAGATTTGATTAAATAAGAAGAAAGAAGTGATCGGGACACGGAGAGAAGAGCAATCGTCCGGTGAGAATGTTGATGATTAAAAGCCGTGGTGATTTGGCTTCTCTAATGTCGACGTTGTGATTACACAGGGCAAAGAGAGAGAGAGTCTTAAGGTAGGTCGCTCTAAGTTAAAGCAACGTCTAATGTATTTTGACAAATTCCAAAATTTATAGTCTTTGTCGCCCGACCTTCATAGACTTACTCATCGTGCCCTCAAATCTACCCTTGCATGGTTTGTGTTGTTGTCTTTAGATTAGTGGGGAAATCGAAAGATGGGATGGGGATATTAACATGGGGCTCGATTCCGAGTTGATCTTTGTGAAAATAATTATTTACTGTTAGGGATCAACTTTGATTAAACCTACAACCTAAGGGCGATCGCTACAGGGGGAAACAGGGCCCTAATGTGGCGAAATCTCTATATCTATGGAGTATCCACAGCCCAACCCTCACGCACTGTTCATCACGGGCTTCGATCCGTTTAGTCTGTAGGACTTGATCACAATTTCAAAGCCCGGAAGACGAATTTGAACTAGTAAATTTGATGGAACCCATGTGGAACTCATGTGATTCCTACCATTTTAATGGTCAATATTGGATTTAGTACATATATTACAGTCATGTAATAATTTCTCTCTCCTCAAGATGCAATCAATGCTAAATCTAAATCTCTCTTGCTGAGGAGACTCAACATTGCAATTTGACCATTCGGTGTGTGCATGCAAATTATAGTGGTGCATTTCGTGGGCATCGAAGTCAGTCAACATGGGTCTTCTTTTCATATTTGTGTTTCCTAAGCTCATAGTCGTAGAGAGAATTGAAGTGAACTTGTGAGGGAACTTTACAAAAATTTTAAGAGCTCCGATGTGGAGAGACTGAGAGAAATAGAGAGAGGCAAAAAAAAAAAAATTTTTGATGGTGTTTGTGAGAGCGACTTGTTTTTCAGTTGTTCATCCATGATCTGTACTCTCGGCTTTCGAAGAAAGGGAGATGGAAGTGATCAATGTCGGCGAGATGTGCCACCTTGCTTTACATGCAATTTCATTAACCTTGCTTGCCGACCTTTTGTCTGCGATTAAGTTATCGAGTAGTTTTGTGCTACTAATCTTTTGTAAGATGGTTTTCGACGTGCATTTTCTTTTTAAATTAATAACTTCCTTATCTTTGACAAAAAGAAACCCAACTTCTCTTATCTATTACCAAATTTTGTTTAGTTTTCTTTTCTTATCGTCACATTAAATTTACCAACTATCATATGAAATTATTATCCACCTTTATTCAGTAACTTACCACTTTTATTCCCGATTAAATGATCCTTGTAGCATGACCCAAAAAAAAATAATCCTTGTAGATATCTGAATTTTTGCTAGCATTTCGAACAAGCATAAAAATGATGAGTGAATAAAAAATAACAACCATAGAAAAAAGATAAAAATAACAACCATAGAAAAAGTTTTGGGAAAATGACACAAACAGTTTATGAACTTTGGTTCAATGTGTAATGTGATCTATAAACTTTTAATTTGTTCAATATAATTCCTGAACTCCAATCCAATGTGCAATGTGGTCCATGAACTTTTCATTTGTTCAATGTCATCCCTGAATTTTTAATACATGTTCAATTTAGTCCTTGAATTATATGAAAATGTTCAATATAATCCTTCCATTAATTCTAGTTCAAGGACTACATTGAACATGTATCAAAAGTTAAAGGATCACATTAAACTAATTAAAAGTTCAGGGATTATATTGAATATTAGGTTAAAGTTTATGTACTATATTGAATGAATTAAAAGTTCATGAGATCAAATTACATATTGAGCTAAAGTTCACGAACTATTTGTGTCATTATCTCAAAAATTGTCAATACTATTCAGCGGAGATGTCTCTCTCTTGGCGGTCGATTTGCCAGAGCTATTGCCTCTTCCTTTCAGCTCCATCACCATCAATCGATCGTCCACCGTCTCCGATCAGCTACGGCCGCCGTCAAATCTCCCTCGCTGGCCACCGCAGCCTCCGCCGCAACGGAGCGGAGCATCGACGCTCATCACCACCAATCGGACTTCTCTCGTGCTCTTTCTCTCTCTCGTCTAAATGCATTTGGGGATTTTCCTTTTAAGCTCGCGGTTTCACAGAGTCTGCAGGAGAATTCACAACGACAACGACAACCACTGCACACTCTCTGAAGCTTGGTGCGCGCGCGAGAGCCCGAGGAACCGAGCGAAGCAAGAACACAACGCACGGACCGAGAAATTCATCGCATAGCTTCGTCTTCGTGAGATTCTCGAAGTCTTTCAGTTTCTTCATTTATTAGCAGGTAACCATTCGGATCTCCCCAAGGTAGGATACGGTCCACACTCAATCATACGATTGTTCTGTATTGCCTTCTGTTGTCTATTCCTTGGTCTCAGATTCGTCGATTCCTGTCTTGCAATTTTTAGCTGGGTTTCTCATGTTATATTCCTCGCCAATTGATAGGAATTCCCGTTTGCATAACACCTCGCCCTTCATGCTCACCACCTGTTCGACGTTTTGCCTCGGAGATGACGATGATGAATTAATTGATCAATTTGAGATTGCATCGGAGTGATTTGTATGTTACTGTTCAATGTGCTGATCATACATTGCGAATTGATGCTTCATCCTTCGATGGCCTAGAGTTCTCCTTCCCCTTGGTGTTTCCGTCTACTTTGTTCTCAGTGAATTAAATACTGCATTGGGAGCGTGGCTGAATTGTCCTCTAAACTGAGAGCCTCTGGATTTATTTTTGAGCTTCAGGTGTTCAAAGTGCACAGATCACAATCGTTAAGATGTTAATGTAGAGAAATCCTCTGTAACCGTAAATTGTTCACATTTTGGAGTTGGAGTTTTTCTTTCGCATACTAACTGTTGCTCTGTTTTGGGCTCGGTTGAGACGCCACTTCACATGCAATGGACACGTTGGAGTATCGCTTGTGTCATGCTCGCAATGTACGTGCAAGTACGTGGTGGTTTATCTCGGTTGTCGCCATTAGCCTGCACAATATTCATTTCAGGATGTGATATTTGTTGAATTTGTACGTAGTGGTGGAATTATTGTTGTTCTTGATGTAAATGTACAAAAATATGTTGATTTCTTGGCTATGAATGCTGTGTATGTTCATAACATGCTGTAGTCATGGTTGTAAGTGCTGTCTGTGACTTAAATTTTCTGGATTCATGTTCATGCCCGCTGTCCATATCCATTCGTTGTTCAAACAACAATCTCCAAGACTTGTCTATGTGTTATCTTGGTCATATGTGTTGAGGTGAGAAATCCATGTTAATTTTAGGGGGAGATCATCAGGTTGTCATGCTTGAATTTGCTGATATTAAACATGTGCCGGCTGTACAAGCATTGATGATCTTCATTTGACTTCAATTTGTTCTCATCTTGAGCACGTGAGCCCACATACACTTGCAGAAAGATATGTTTCTAGTCCACTACTTAACAAATAATCATGAATTTCGGCCATTAATGCTCTGATTTTATTCTAGATTTTGCTGACTTCGCTGTTTTGTTTACCCATGATAAGGTGACAATGTATACTTGATTTGCTAGTTATTGGGACATGTTTGGTTTGGGTATTATTGGAGTGGGTAATTTGTAAATCTTGCGAGCTTGATAAGCTGGACGCCGCAGTGAATTCTCTTAGTCATGAATTTGAATGATTTTTATTGCCAGTTGTTGATTAGTTTGATGGTTCTTCAGAACATGTAAGTGTGTGGTTCATCTCCCGCCACCTTGATACATTAGGATGCCATTTATGTGGGTAGAGTAATGACTATACTTGCTGGATGTTATTGTGGGCTGTGGACTGAGCGTGATTTTGAGGGGATTTTGATGATATTTCTAGCTCGATTTAGTGGTTCATGAGGTACATAGCCATACAGCTCACTTCTTTTCGTTTTGATATAATGAAATGTAGTTTTCCTTCAATAAACGGGCAAGCTTGCATGCGGGCCTTAAGCTTAGTATAGATTCAAATGGTGCCTCAAAACAAAAATTAATTCAATCATGGAGAACATGGATAGTTACATACTTCCACAGGGGTCAGCATATAGACCTGTTAGACGGTGGCTCCAGTCGGATTTGGCAGGTCGAAAATGGGTCTGATCTAAATGGACAAATTTAATTGAATTGACCTATTTTTATGTAATATAATTGAACAATCCGTACTTGACCCGACTTGAGCTCAACCCATACCCAACCCGACCGATGTTCTTCTTCATCATCTCGCATCTCTCTTCATCTTTGTCTCTTCTTCACCACCAAAGCCCCCTACAAAACTCTCCTCCCCACCACTAATGTCAAGACCTGTCAAATAGTTGGGTCGAATCAAGTTTGAGTGGTCGAGTCTAGATTAAGTGGGTCAAAAAAAGGGTCCAACCAAAATTATCCCATACTACCCCATTTTGTGTAATACAACTTCAGCAACACATACCCGTTTCAACCCGGATCCAATCTCAACCCAACCCCTGTTCTTCTTCTACTTCATCATCATCTCACACAGCTCATCTTTGTCTCTTCATTACCACCAAAGCTCCCAAGAGAACTCTTTCCTCCCCACCATTGATATTTAGACTTGTCAAATGGGTGAGTTGAGTCTGGGTTGTTTTTTTTTTTTTTTGGGTCTGAGGGTTGAGTCGGTTTTGAGTGGGTAAAAAATGGGTCTGATCTAAATTAGCCCATTTTTATGAAATACAATTTTGGTGACTCATACCCGATTGGACCTAGACTCAATCCATACTCGCCCCAACCTATGTTCTTCTTCTGCTTTATCATCTCGCATTGCTCTTCATCTTCGTCTCTTCTTACCCACCAAAGTGCCCACAAAACTTTCCTCCCCATCTGTCCCCTATCACCGCCCTCCTCCTCCTCGCACTATCCACCCCCTTCTTCAACCTTGCCCAGTCCAATCTCACTTTCAACCGAGCCACACTCCTCTACCTTCGCTCCACTGTTGGTGCCCTCCTCCTCGTCTGGAGCCTCACTGACTCGCCCTGCTCTCAGGTGACATTTTTTTTTTTGAACAATCATATGAACTTTAAATTTTGTCCCTCTAATTGTTCATGAATGATGACACTTGACTTTAACCCATAAAATGAAACTATATATGCTCTTACGTGCATTCTCATTATCAAACGAGCCGGAGACATTATCCAAAAAGGGCAATAAACTAGAATTTCTCTGACTTATATCTGTCTCGTATCTAAAGTGTTATCTAGTCAACTATTTTATCGGTAAAAATATGGTTTTTAACCGCACGATTTTCTGTTGGGGTAACAAGACAAATGAAGGCCACATTGATAACATTGTTAAACTGAATTGGAGATTGAGGAGGTGGGATTCCACAACATCACTAGTGTCAAAACAAAGATTTCCTGTTCAACGTTATGAGCGACTCCATCAAGCTAGTGTCGATTAATAGTTTTGCCACCTTCACCAAATAATTTGTCGGACCAAAAAAAAAATCCACAACATCTAGTCTCGGTACCAATTGAAATAAAAAGGTTTAAGTCATGAGTATGATCCGTCATCTCGATATATATCCTAACAAAAATCTCATCCGAATTTGACTTGATTTTAAATGGTTCGATCGAATTGAAACTGTTGATTATGATGTTTTGGTTTGGTCCGACACATACCGAATCCAATTTTCTCTTTTTTCCGTTTGGGAATACATCAATATGCTCTCAGTGTACTTGCCCGTTTAAGATGTGTGGGTTCGTCGCCTCACAACTATTAGTTTTTTGTCCATCTATGATTTTTAACAATGATTGCAAGTATATATCATATAACTTAATATGATTGTTAATTTTTTCAGCGAGACCCATCCATCATGTGATGTGCATGGTCGCTACTGTCTGAAATCTGCAAGATATGATTGAATTTGTAAGCTCGGCCCGACAACAGCCCAAACTGCATCAGCTAGCCCAAACATGAGGAAGCGTTGTTTGGTGAGTTGCAAGTGTGTACAGTCCAAACCATTAAAACCCATGTATAATTATGCTTCACTACTCTAAAATCATGACAATCCGTTCCTTAAATTATTAAGTAACCGTCTTCTAGAATCGCCCAAGCGAGCAAGTCACTCCAAAACATAACAATGTTTCAAAAAGTAAAAGAGATGGCAAAAGCTTGACTCGATAAGAGAAATTTGCTTGATCCACAAGTGACCCGATTTGATCCATACGTGATATTCATTTTCATGCAAAAGTATAGGACTTTAAATCCGGTGAACGTGGAGATGATAAAGAGCGATTCCACGTTATGCTTTACCTTGTTTTTTTGGTTGGATGTTATTCTTTACTTCACGCGGTGATCAAGAGGTCATTGTTTAGCATACTATACGCATTAGCCCTTTGCTTCCACATGAAGAATGAACAAAAGGACTTTGAAGTGTTTTAATATATTGAAGCGAGATCTCATATCTCTCCTTTTCTTTTCCTTTTCTTTATCCTTTCCCTTTTGGGAATAAAGAATCGCGCGTAAGAGTGCAAAACAAAGACACATTGCATCTCTTTTCTCCTTATGCTTTTCTTGGATAGACCATGAAATGTACAAATGAAAGATTCAAAGAGGACACGGTTTTAAATTATAGACGTGACTTTCTTATGGTGAGCTTGTTCCTCTTTATATATTGGGTCTGTCCTAATCATCCTGGTCATAATTTTCATTGTCGAATTTAAACCTGCAAGACCATTGAAAGAGATTGAAAAAGAGGTTAAAGCAGACATTAACAAAGACGATTATTTGTCCATCTCAATATAATATACTTGGCCAACAAAATTGCCCATAACAATAATCTGGCTCATAAGACTTATATTTAGTCCATTTCCAGCTTAATCTGGCCTAGCCTGTTTTAGTCAAACATAGGTGATTTGGCGCTGTTTTATATTCTATTCATTTGATTTATTTGAAGTCGCAAGCCTGTATGGAATTCTTAGAATAATTTAAGATACAATAAAAGCTATTATAAGCAAATACTGCTCTTAAACATTTTTGCTAATTTATGAAATAGAGAAACTAGATGTCCATGAATTGGGCTCCGGTCCGCACAAACTTTGCAAAGCACTTTCTAATCAGCTCTAATGTCACAAATTGTTTCGAAATGGAATGTATTTCATAGAAGGAAAGCACGTTAAATATAAAATACATATGCTAACTCTTGAGATAATTTTATAATCTTCTTCACTAAATGTGTTTATTACTCTCATTCTTGAGATAAGATAAGAACCATCCCATGTAGGTGGAGAAAGGTTGTTACGAAAAAGGCAAAAGTTTGATAAAATATAGGTTAAATACTTATGTAATGACAAAAGTGTCCCTAATGCTTTATTGTTGTGAGGAAGTAACGAGTGCAATATCGATACTCATGAAAAAGCAAGAAAAAAGTGTGCTTTGATTTAATGATTTTGTTGGTAAGTGTCCCTATTAAGCGCTTATGGACTGGCTCAGGAAGCTTTGCATTGTCCAAGCACTAATTATCTCGTGCTATGTGTAATCACTGAAATGAAAAAGTGAATTATTTCTTAATTTGTATTCTTAACTAGTGTCCAAGGCACTGGTTAACAAGACCACTGACTTAGATATATATTAAACATCTTCACCATCAGAATTGATGGATCCCATATGAATTTCATGTAAA